CCCCCCCCCCCCCCCCCCGGTGGTATAATATTACTCCCTGGTATAAATTAAAGATTACAAAGAGATCTTCAGCTATGATCAAATTAAAAGAAATTAAGAAAGTTTTCAAGAAGTGAAATTGAAAGAATTTTTCTTGGGGCTTATGTTGTACAAATATTTATGATAATATTTACTCCGTATTATAATAGACATTATATTTTAGTTAGCTACTATTTTCTATTCTCCTCTCCTAGTTCTAGTTGAAGTTAGTATTTTTACTCTATAAATACTCTATCATGTAATATTAATTCCTTGATCAATACAGACTTGTTCTCTAATTCATGAGCTTCATCGGCAATCCGTAATAGCCTGAGAAGACGCCATGGACGACGACGACGCCATTTTGGACATTCGGCTTTTTGCCATCGCCGTCGTCCATGGCGTCTTCTGAGGCTAATACTGATTGTCGGTGAAGCTATTGAATTAGAGAACAAGTCTGTATTAATCAAAAAATTAATATTACATGATAGAATATTTAATATTTATAGAGTAAAAATACTAACTCCAACTAAAACTAGGAGAGGAAAATAGAAAATACTACGTAGTAGCTAACTAAAATATAATGTCTATTATAATGAATATTATCATAAATAATTGCACAACAGAAGAAAAAATCTTTCAATTTCACTTATTGAAAGCTTTCTTAATTTCTTTTAATTTAAAATTTGATCATAGCCGAAGATCTCTTTGTAATCTTTAATTTATACACATTATTTTTCACGGCCAGATTAATTTTGAAGTTCACATTGAGATAAAGCCCCAAGGCAATCCTTTTAGTAAAGAGTCGCAAATAATGGGCGAAAGAGGTGTTATTTTAGACAATAGATCATAATCTCTTTGAATATGGAAAGTAGACTAGTAATTTCGGACAAACAAAAATAAGGGAAGGGAGCAATAAATAACACGTCTAAATATGTTCAAAATGAATAACAATAAACAACTTGCTTCAAAATTTGGCTGCATAAGTATTAATCAAGTATTCAAGTCCATATAATCAAATTGCTCAGCAATGCCTAGAAACTTCTTGTTCTACCCTTTCAAGTATGGTTTATATTGTGTCAGTGTTAAATTTGTATAGTGGAAGCATGAAGCATTTGATAAATTATGCTAACAACTATAGTTAATCTGTTGGGTTGGAACCCAGTACATACAATAAATACTTCAAAGCTATTAGGAAGTATAATTAAATTAGGATACTTCTTTTCTTTCCTACTAGGATTATTCTTTTTTTTCCTACTTGTACTTTGATTACTCTTGTATTCCCTATATATAGGGTCATATCTCTCAATATTCAATAAGACAAGTTATTATCAAATTGTATCATGGTATCGGAGCTAAGGCTCTCAAAAACCTAGCCTCTCTTTTTTCCGACCGCCGCCCACCATGGCAGCCCCGTCGGATCCTTTGGCGTCCTTACCCTCCGGAGTAAAACTTTTGCTTCGGAGTCTCCACAACTTAATCCCAGAAAAACTCACCGAAACAAATTATCCGGCATGGTCTCTCAATGTCCAGACAGCTCTTTCAGCTAATCTCCTCCTTGGATGGATTGATGGTCATGAAGCAGCCCCGGCGCCAACTATCTCCAAAAACGATAAAACCGTCC